TGGTGCGATAATGTCGTCTAGGACCATTCAAGTCCTGTGATAAGAGTTTTGCCATTAATTCAATAAGTTTCCCAGTGAGATGATTGGGCTCAAGTCATCAATATATTCAATAAAATCATTTTTCAGCAAAAGGGCATTCTTTGCCATGTTAATTTTTTCACACAGGCTTGTGTACTACGAAACCATTGTTTTTTGGTACAAGGAGTTTACAATCTTTTTTAGCTTTTAGATGTGAAATCCAATATATGAAAGCGCATTCCCTAGGTTTTAATGTATTAAGGAAGATAGGTGTATGGTTTAAGAGGATTTTTGGTAAATCCCTAGACCTGATGTCTGTGAAGAGGGCCTCCCATGAAAAAACAATTAAAATCATAGCCAGTTTAGAAGAAATTGGGATACTTGTTATGGTTCGACGGAGTAGATTTGATACCGCCATTGGAATATCCAGAACTTGGAAATTAGTAATAAATTCATTACACTAACTCATACTGGGTGAAAGATGAGCACTATTACTGATCAATTGGGTGAACAAAGAACACTAAAGTCCCCCTATACAAGTGAGGAGGCAAAAAACAGTAAGCATCCCACATGTTGGAAGGTCGGTTAGGACCGTAATCCGCAATCAAGGCTATTGGACCCTTTGGAATTGATCTTGAAAACAACTTGAGCCCACCCGATCTCCAATTACAAAATTGTATCCTCTTAAGACTTGGATGCCCCCTGCCACCCAAATTCCTCAACTTCCGTCGGCTGCAACACCGAACCACTGTGCTAGCCCACTTGATGAACATCCAGAAGAGGGTGCTGTTTTTCCTACTTTCGTGCAAAACAAGCATGTCCAAACTAAACATACAAACCAAAAAATGAGGAATTCTTGCATTCCTCATTTCAACCAGTCCCAGTCCTCAAATGTTCCATGACAACAACTTGGTTGGGAATGAGATCTAGTACTTTGTCTGGTCGCACTCATTGTTCATTAAACTGTCACTCCTCTGTCGTAATCGACTTTGCTAACTGTATTTTCAAGCGCCTCATTACTTTTTTCTTTAACTTTATTATCTCTCTCATTTATTTGGTTAACTTCATTCCTGTCTTCTGATTATCCAGGTCTCAGTTTCACCTATTCGTAAATGCCTCTACTATCAGTCCATCCTACAAAATTTTCATACCTCTGTCATCTTTAGATTATGTTTTATTCGCGTACTGAACAAAGTTTTTTAAGAGAACCAAATTTGAGCTCTTAAACCCTGGTTTTAATCCTGCATTAACTAAACGGTTTCTGGTCAATATTTTGAGGGGGATTGATTTGAAGCTCTTTCTTTTTTCTTCCTTTTTCTGTTTTTTTTTACACTTGATCCCGTGGGCAAAATAACTATTTATGGGTTCCTATGACTTGTAGTTCTTTTAAACATCTTTGATACACCTTGTGATCCATTTAATAAAGGAAAATTGTTTTATGTGGGGTGGAGTGCATCACTATATATGCGGTCTAAAAAATGTAAAGCATCCATCTTAAAGATAGATGCAAGTAGGTGTTCCATCTAAAAACGATGGAGACTAATAGTTTAAATGTTTTCTTACTAGAATTATTATTTTTAGTTTTTAAAATTTATTTATTTTTGCATATTCATGATCTTTATGTTAGAGATTGCATGTCCTTAAAAATTAAGTCAAAAAATCCATCTCAAAAATAGATTTATTAATGGGCCCCCATTTCTACATAGCTTGGCTGCATAGAAACTGAGTCCTTTAATAAAAAAGAAAAAGATTTTTTGAGCTTTCAAAACCTTAGATCTCGTTGTCTAAGCAGTCCTAAGTCGATCATGGAGTGAGACTTGATTTGGAGTATTTTGTTAGTCCAAGTTAATTTTACTTTTCTTTTTGGTTTCTAAATTGATTTTAGTATTTAATAAACATAATTTGAAAGTTTTGGGGTAGAAAAAAGGAAAAAGAAAAAAAACCTAATACGGTATTTTCGCCCTTGGGCCAAATGTCAAATTTGGTCATGCGATACTAGTATTCAAGGGAAAAGATTTTGTAGCAAATTTGGTAGTACCGTACAACCAAATATTTTCCCTTGAATTATTTTAGATTTTGAACAAGTATATTCGGCACTTGCCATACATGCAAGTCCGAGTTACCCCGAGTTGTGTGTACCTCTTGAGATACATTAAAAATTAAAAAAATCTTAAAAAATACAAAAAATATAGGATTGTTCTATAACTTTTTATATATATTTTGAATGTTTTTGATAAATATCGGTGAATTTTTTGGTATAATCTATAATTTCATATTTTTAAATGTCCCCAACTATAATCATTTTTTAAAAATCTATTGTTTAGACTTTTTAAAATTTATTTGAAGTTTTTGAAGTTGTTTTTTTTTTTTATTTAATTTTTAGAAGCTTCATTTTATTTCGAATTGTTTCTTTAAGTATATCTAAAAATTTTAGATTTGTATTTTGGGTGAGTTGGAAGAGCCGATTCTCTAAAGTTCCTAATCATTGTTTTCCCTATATCCAGCTTGATATTCATTGAACAATGAGAACTCATCTTTGGAGAGAGGGGTAGGTCAGATGCCACGTCATTTTCTGCCTTGATCATTCTCGAATATCATATTATAAAAAAAACTATTTTACTATGTAAAACTCATTTATTTAGTGAATCCAAGCCAAAACTCCTGACCACTGGCGATCAACCCAAAACAGACTTTCATAACATATCCTGACTTACAAAAAATAATTCTATAATTATATTTTACTTAAATACCCTTGTCAAAAGGGAAAATTACGAAGGCGTCAATATTCTAAAATTGCTTAAGATAAATTTATCAAAATAACTCGAGAGATCAACTATTTACCATCTTATTCTTTTTTTTTTAATTTAATGTCAAAAATCACATTAAAAATCAGATACAAATCAACAACAAACATTCAATAATAATAATAATAAAAGAAATATACAAATCATCAACTATTGTAGTGGAAATTTTAGGGGTATTTTGTTTTAAGGAAAAAGTTTAGGGAAAAGTTTATATAAGGTTGCAGCTTTAAAATGTAGAATCACATATGCACCTCAAAAATCTATCGAAAATGTTGTTTTAATATTGAAAAACCCTCTAATCGATCATCTCGACAGTGAGATGTATGAATATGAAAAAAAAAATGTTATTGAGTCTAAAAATAGTGCATCTTGCAATATATTATCTAGACCATCTATTTTCAATATTTTCATATATTTATAGATCTACTTGATTTTAACCATTTATTAAATTTAAATTTTTTTTAATTAGGTATGAAAATCAATTTTAATATAATACTAAGAATTTTTTACAACAAAATTACATGTTATGATAAAAATTTAAGGTGCGCCTTAATTAGATTGTTTAAGGTTGCAACCTTATAGAAACCACACCCAAGAGTTTATATTAGGTGTCTACCTTATACTATAAAATTCAAGCCAACCTCAAAACTTCACCCGAAAAGGATATCCAAAAGGGTGTAGCTTGTATATAGCCGAGGCTTTAAGCAATCGAAGTAAAGCACACCTTCAAATAGTGTCAAGAAATGTGGTTTCAATACTTAAAATCTTTGTGATGGTCTTAAAATATATTTTCATTTTTAATGATAATATTGAAATCTTAAAAAATGGTATAAATTAAGATGATCTATAAAGAACTTGAAAAATCTTGAAAATTGACGGTCAAAAAATGTGTTACAAGATGTACTATTTTTAAAACTTGAAATCCTTTTTTTTCTCATGTTCATGTTTCTTGATGTTGAGATGATCAATTTGACGATATCTAGGCATCAAAACAACCTCTTCTAGGGAAATTATTGAGGTGGGCTCTAATTTGATTGTTTAGAGCCTCAGCTCTATATAAACTTTTTCTTAATCAAAATCCTCCGATTTATCATGTTAGACTCTAAAATTTATGGATATGAAAAAATAAAGGGCGCGGTTTGTATAGAGAGCCGAGACTCTAAACAATCAAAGTAGAGCCCACCTTCAAATAGTATCGAGAAATGTGGTTTCAACACTGCAAATCTTTGTGATATCCATAAAATATATTTTCATCTCTAATTATAAAATTTAAAGCTTCAAAAACAATATAGATCGAGCATATCTATGAAAATCTTGAAAATTGACAGTCAAAAAATGAATTACAAGATGCACTATCTCCAAAACTTGAAATCCATTTTTTTCTCATGTTCATGCATCTTGATGTCGAGATGATAAATTTGAAGATATTTAGGCATCAAAACAACCTCTTTTAGCTCTAATTTAATTTTTTAGAGCCTCGACTCTATATAAACTTTTTTCAAAAATAAAATGAACTTCGAAACATAAAAACATTATATCTTGTACAACATTATCTCCACTATCTATTTCAAGGATTTTAAGGGTTTATAATATGCTCGATATATATAATTTTAGAAGGGACTATATATTACGAGACTATTTATTTTTTATACAAGAAGGTCACAATCAGTACTAGCCGTTGGATGTCAAATTGGATGGCTTGGGGGTGTCACAAAGTTTGAGATTTCTTTTTTGAACTTTTGGTCTAGTCAATGATACATTCACAAGTATACAATTTAAAATTTGATAGACAAGATTGTAACATCCTTGTATTAAAAATAAATAATCTCTTTATATATTTTCCCATTTTGGAATTTAAAATTCAGTAATTAGATGTGAAACTAAAATTTGTGACGATCGTAAGCCCTTTCAACACAAAAACTGCATCTTCCAACAGGATATGAAGGTGAGTTATACCTCGATTGTAATTGAGGATATATAAACCGCACCAATTGAAAAAGGGGTAAAATGTTAAATAATTGATATTTAAAGTGGGTTTTTTATCAATATCATTTTAATTGAGTATGTATTTGGTGGCTGTATATTTGGTCATTTAAAAGGAAGATTAGAATAATATGAGTAATTAGTAACAGATAAGAATGTAAACTAGAAATGGGAAATAAACACCATAGTCGATAAACGATACATATGGTTGACTTGAGTAAACAAATGGCTCAAAACTCAATATAAGATTGTATCATGTTGATGTTCATGGGCATGTATGGTAGAGGAGAGCTTGATGAGAGAGAAAGAGAAGAGAGAGAAAGTGGGGAGGGGATGGAGAGATCTGCAATCACTTGCGCAAATGAAGCTCTCTCTCTCTTAAAACCAGCTCCAGATGCCCAAATCACCACCAAGCCTTTCCTTCACGTTTCCAACTCTGTGCTCCAAGTTCTTGGTTTGTTCTTTTATTTTGTGTTTGCTATAAATACTGGTTTTTTTTAACCGAACAAGCTTCTTTTTCTCTCTAAAAAACATTAATGTTGTGTAGAATCTTTCTTTATGAAAGACATGTATTTTGTGTGAAATCTTTATCTCTCTGTCCTGGAACTCTCTCTCTAGAATACCTCTAAACTGTGCAAAATCTCCCCCCCCCCCTTCTCTCTCTCTTGTTTCTGCCGACAGGGAAACCTTGTGGCTATTGGGTTTGAAGTTCCTCTAAATATTACGTATTTTATCTATTGAATTATTGTGGCAGATAAGATTGGACCTACAATGGCTGTGATGAGACAGGATTTACATAGAAACGTACAGGTACTCTCTCTCTTTATAAAAAGTTCCTTGCTCATATTTCTACCCAAAGCTTCTAAATGCGTAATTAAAAAAAATCTTGCATCGTTAAAATAATTACTAATTCACATAAAATTTTATTTTTTCAAAATGATTTTTCTCTCAATTTACTATTTGATTTGTTATTATTTTTCGATTTTTTGTATATTCTTAGTTCTTGATTTAATTTTCTTTTTTTTTAACAGAGGGTGGAGAAATTTTACGACACGAATCCATCAATTTACTGTGATTTATTTGAAATTGTTAAAAAAGAAGCTGAAGAAGGAGTAGCAAAAAAGCCCACAAGTTGTACAAGAGCTATAGTATGGCTTACAAGGTACACAAACTTCTTCATCCAATAAATATGGGGATTGTATGGAATAAGATCATTTATCTTTCATACAAAGATGTCATAATTATTTATAGCAAGGGAAATCTAATAGTACCATATCAAAGTAAAAATTTAAGTATGATAGTAATATTTTTTGACCAAATAGATAATAAGTACATCACTAATAGTCTTTTAGAAATTCCAGATTTGTTCAAAATATAATCTAAAACCTTTTTTACTCAATAAAGTACATAAGAAAAAAAAAGGATTCGGTTTGTATCGGTAGCATCTTTATTTGTGGATGTAAGGCTACAATCTTGTGCACAGTCTATTTAGCTAGACGGAAGAAATTTAATTTATCTTATTAAAACAATGCCAAAATCTATTATTTTTTTTTAAATAATATCAAATCTATACCGTCTAATTAAAATAAATTGTAAATGCTACGAAAATTTATCCTTTAGATTATTACATACAATTTGTTTTTTTTTTTAAATCTATAAAGAAATGACCAACTTGAAATTTACTAAAGAAATAACTCCTAATTTCTCATAGCCAAAACATGGGTGAAATAACTTCCCCTCCAAAAATTGTATCCACCCAATAAAAAAATTTATTTTAGTTTGAAATTTAAGTGAAATGACACATTTCCTTTTCAACATAGACTAAAGAAAAACTGGCGTGTGCTCGATGAATGCCATGTCCCCACTAGACTAATAGCTGGATAATTGGAGTGGTGTCATTTGATATTGATGTTAATAATAAAAAAACGGTGCAAAAAATTGCTTTATGATTGAAATTTCAAAGAACCGATTACTAAGCCAAAATGAATTAGAAAACACACTATGAGAGAGATATGTGGTGGGCGAGGGAGAGCATGAAACTATGAGTGGGTGTGCGTGAGAGAGAGAATTTGGTTTTTTTTTGGTTTTTTTTTAATCACAGCATGGATCATGGATCATGGGAAAGAGATAAGCCCAATGGGCATGATTAAAAATGGTGCAAAAAATATCAAGACTTATGGCGTCACTCAGTGGATATCGTTCAACAGAGCTGAATGGCAGATCAATATTCGAATAACATATCTTTAATAGCTGGGTGTGAAAAATCTCCGATGATAACGAAAAATAAGTGTTAATTTCGTATAAAAAAAATAAACAAAAATGTAAGAGAGAAAAGGCAACTCCAAAGACAAAAACCACATATAAAATCAGAAAACAAAAAACAAATAAATAAATAAATAAATAAAGAGAAGAAAGGTCACTTTCACATATTTCTCCAACGGTTGTTGATTTCACATCTAAGTAACGTCTTTCGTCATGTGAAATGACAAGGGGGGGCGAATTTAAAACGTAAAGACTAGAATGCCATTTCCATCCACCCTTAATTACATTAATAACCTCTGAGCTGAAATCCATGTTCTTGCCCTCGGACAAATATATATTTGAAATGGCACGTTTGCCCTTTTTTATAGCTAAATGATTTTACACTCCTGCAGGAAAATTCTGTCCATTTACTCCTTCAGGTAAAACCTAATATATAGGCGTTGCAATGGGTCGGATAGTGTTGGACCCAGACCCAAACACAAAAAACGATATGGGAATCGGATCCAGAGCAGGTCTACTCTTCGGGTTTCAAGTCAAGCTGGGTCCATTACCACTCCTACTAATATAACAGGAATTTTGAGGCTTCGAATTTTAGTGCTCTAACCTCTTCAACCCATAGATTAACCTTGGTGGAAAAAATTCCAAATTGACTCTCTATGCACTAGAAAATATAATGTCTCACCATAAAAAAAAGGACTGACCGATTTTTGAAAGGCCACATCCAAGTGCAATAAAATCAATTCAAATTTCTTCTTTTCTCGAAAATAATCATCCAGCAATTCTTGAGTAGTTCAATCTTCCCAAACAGGTCTTTTGATTTGGGGGAGTAGATACACTATATGCTCATGCGAGATCATAGTATGCATTTGAACTCACGAACTTAAAAAGAATAATTGGCGATGCATTGTCATTTACAACCAGGGAACTGCAGGCATCACTTCAAGCATCCGTTGTCAACGTTGGACGGTCGATAGACTGACTGTTCTTATGTTGCTTGTTAGGCCCATCAACATGTGAACTTAACCGTTTGAGAAAAAGGAACCGTTGATATATAGGCCGTTCCTATATTTTATATGAATTGGGTTCTAATATTTAGCTCCATGAGTAAATGGAGATTTAATTGATTATTGAACTATTTGATCATTATTTGAGGTATTGCCCTTAGATAAAACTAGAAAAGTTTAATTCATAATTACTTGTTATAATTTTTTAAAGTGGATCCAATATGGAATGCAAGTTCAGTAATAATTGGACTAGAAATGATGAAGTAGTTAAGATTGTTGAACAATAAATACCTAAAAGAGAGCATTTTTTATGTTTTGGGTCAACAATCTAGGAAATGGAGAGATTGAGAAACATGTCGCCATATAATTAGAGCCGGGTGGACAAAATGAAGATGTACATATTGAGTTTCAAGTGAATGCTGCATATTAATAAAGAAAAAGGTGAAACTCTCTAGGACAACTGTGAGACCAGTTTTGTTTTATGAGACTGAATATTGGGTGGTTAAGCAGCAACATAATCACGTGATGAGTGTAACTGAGATGAGAATATTGAGATGGATAAGTGCAAGACAAGAAATGATAGATTTGAAATGAACACATTCAAGAGAACTTAGATGTGACTTCAATAGGCGGTAAGATGAGAAAAAATAGACTTAGGTGAGCAAGCTATATGCAATATCGACCCAATATGGCACCGCTTAGGAGGTGCGATTTAGTTCGAATAGGAGTCTCTAGAAGGGAAAAGGGAAAGACCCAAAAGGACATGAATAGAAGTAGTAACAAAATATATGGGGACTCATAGTCTTGCTGAGGGTATGGCTCTAGATAGAGCAAAATGGCAGAATACAATTTGTGTAGCCGGACCCAAATAATTGGGATAGTACTCCGATGATGATAATCTTTAAATGTAGATCAAATGCATGTATCAGGAAAGAATCAAAACACATGAAATAAATTGAATGATTGTCTCCCATTATTTTTTTCTAGCTAAATAACAATAAACATCGAGCAACTTTAAAAATTATAAAAAAATTTGGTATTAAGTAAAGGGCAATCTTTCCATAATTCCCCTAATGTATGGTAGTTAAAAACTTCCCCTTGTCTAGCTGTCAGGCATCTACACTATTTTATTTTCATTTTAATATAAAATATTTTGATACCAAATTTTGTGAATCCACTCCTCTCTTAAACTCGCATTTGTAAAAAATATAAAAATAATATTTTCGATAAAATAAAATGATCAAAATACCCTTAAAAGTTTCATGGGTATTTTGGTTATTTTATTTTATTGAAAACATTTTTTTATATTTATTTTAGGTGCGTCCCATTGAGATATAGCACGTACCAACTTTCATATTCATATAATTTATAAAATAAAAATAAAAAATAAAATACTCTGAAGTGTGGGATCTAGTTCAGATAGTTAATAGCTTATTTGATCTAAATTAGACAGATAGTTCATGTTTTATCTCTTTATGTTAACACAACAAGCCCATTAACAAATGATGTTGCTATAAAGAGCATATAACATAGGTTCAGGATTCATGATACCTATGCTACATACTCTCTATAACAACATCATTTGTTAATAGACTTGTTGTGTTTACGTAAAGAAATAAACATAATAAGCCCATTAACAAAGGATGTTCCCAGAGGGAACATGTT